ATGACATTTGCCATGACATAATATCCATTATTAGGCCAAGGATTTCTTGCTATAAATAGAGGAGTTTCTCCTCATTTGAAAACACACCAATTCAAGAGCTTTTCACTCTTGTCTTTCCTTCTCCTCCTTTATTTCATTATAGAGTATTTTGTAAGAGAGTGAGTATTGGGAAACACTTGTGTGAACCCTTTCTTTGGAGTGATCTTGTGAGGTTATTCTCTTGGGGAATTTGGGATTAATTAGAGTATTTACTCTAATTTTGTACTCTCTTTTGTATTCTTATTGGTATAGTAAAATTGCTCCTCTCCGCTTGTGGACGTAGGTCACCTTGACCGAACCACGTTAAATTTGTGTTTTCTTTATATTCTTTAATTGCCGTTATTATCAACTTCCATTGTCTTTGTTATTGTCATTATACCGTTGTTTGGCTAAATTCCGCACTACCCGGGTAACCGATCCTAACATTGTCATTAAGTTATTTGATGCTCTAACAGTGACTCTTCTACTATAAAATTTAAAAAGGTATACAAATTATAGTAAACAAATGAGTATAAATTAATAAGGCAAAATAGTCCAATTATATTTTTTACATTAATGATAATGAGTTAACAAAATTATTATAAAGTAATCAGAATAAGAAAACTAAACATAATATGCGTAAACCACAACTGAGTCATATTTCCGGTATAAAATATAAAATTCAGGTGATATCTCGGGCTGTAACCTCGTTAGTCAAGCACAGAAAATTTCTAATACTAAGATATGAAATATGGGAGATTATACTAGGGACAGGACGTATTTAATGACGATATGGACTCGAGTGAAGCTTCCCTTCCTATTCCTTTCACCTTATTTCACCCCGAGAAAAATATTTGTAATAATCAGTGAACTATCTTCTTTTTTCTCTGTTAAGTTGGTGAGATATTCAAAGAGTAGACACAAAAATATTCACCTCCATTCCAACCAAACTTGTGGGGCAAGTATTTGTCCTTTCTCTATGCCCCAACCCCTCAATCCCTCTCCCAATCCACAATTGGCGTCAACTTCAACTATCTTTACTAACATTGCAGCCGGCCCCAACTATTTAATGTTTTCCTATAATTAAATGTCTGGATTTGTTTGTACACATCTTAACTATTCTACTGGATACTTATTATTTTCTTCGTTTCAGTTTACGTGAACCTATTTTATTTTTGGTCCGTTTCAAAAAGAATATAACCCCTTTCTGAATTTGAAAACAATTTAGCTTAAACTTACAATTCTACCCTTAATGAGAACTTTTATAACCACACAAATATTCTAGCCTCTTTTTGACTTGTTTAGGACCATAAATTCCAAAAGTTTTTCATTTTTTTCTTAAACTCCGTGCCCAATCAAACAGGTTCACATAAATTGAAACGGACGGAGTACTTTTTATCAGTATAGAGATTAGGTAACTCTAGCTACCTAGACTTAAGTAGATGAGAAAAAATTATCCTACATTATTTTACCTCTACAAAAATTGAACCTTGATCTCTCATAATTTTTATCGGATATAGTACATCCTTGGGTGCAGCCGTCTCCAACTATTCATGCAACCTACAAATTAAGCTATGATATCTTACCCCCTTCCCCTTCTTTCTCTTGTTCTGGAAGGGGGTGTGGGCCCCTCATGGGATAGGCTCCCTACTAGTAAACGAACACACGCTTGTATAGTACACGTCTTAGCATGCTCTTATATACCCAAACATTTCAAAACTTGAGCAAAAAATTCCAAGTGTCACAAGTTTTGATACACACTTGACACTGTTTATTCCAACAGAAAAACGAATGGCTTCTTGGTTTGAAAGACACAAACTGCAGAAACCCAAAGAAGTAGAAACTCCTCCAAGAAATTACAAGAATAGAGAAAAGAAGCCAAAAAGCTTTGATGAATCCATCTTGATACCCCAAAAATCTCCAACAACTTTTGCAGCTATTAATGGTTACTCTTCCTTATCTTCTGTTTCCCATTCCTACACATACACAAATGAAAAGAAACCTCATCCTCTTCCTTTGCCTTTGCCATTGGATTCACCTCATTTCTCTACAAGATCAAGTAGTGGATCTTCCTCTACTTCATCTGATCAGTTCAATGATGATGAAGAAGAACAAGCTCAAGATCACTTGTCATTTAGTCCATTCAGGTTTGTTGAATCTTTCCTCTTATTATTGCCTTTTTCTGTAAAAGGGTAAATTATCTTTCTTCTTCTTTTTCCTTCTTTCATTTCATGGTTTAGGGAACAGGATGTTTTAACATGTTATAAAACACTGCACAGGAATAAGTACAATGATTGGACAAGAACTTCAAATGAGAGTTCAAAGTCTACCTCGCCAACATATCCATTGTTATGGGGAAAGATTTTGGATTCTCCAAATGGAAAACAAGAAAGTTGTAATCATCCGCGCCATCCTCTTCCTCTTCCTCCTCCACCAAATTCTTCTGCTAAATCAGTAGGGCAAGCTCTCGAGTCCAAATGGAAGAAAGGAAGGTTGTTAGGAAGAGGAATATTTGGGCATGTCTATGCTGGATTTAATAGGTATCTCATGACTTCCACTCATCCTATTTTACATCTTTGATCTTTCTGAATTGAAGTTCTATCCTTGATAGTGTAAATAATAGCCAATAATATTTATTCAATATGGTCGCTAATAAGGTAACTAAACAATATATCTTTATGATAATTTTTAATTGTACCCTAATAAAATTAATTAAATTGTTATAATAAGTTAAATTATGTTAATCGTGTAAAAATCTATACGATGCCAAGGTATATGATTTAAATATTTTCATGTTTATGTTCTTTATTGGTAGTACCAATTTAGTAGAATAGCTCTTGTCTCATCGGCCCGGACTCATCAAAGATAATGTTACTGCCTCATCCTACTTTGTGTACCGGGCTGCCCTTTACTGTCCACAATTGTTCTATTGGTCATTTTCCTTCCGTAACTTATGCCGGTTGTTGTCATAAACCATAATTCAGAGGTCTGTCCGAAAGTGGTCCATTTCTCAAAGATAATAAGTATTCCCTCTGTTTCAATTTATGTGAACCCATTTGATTGGGCACGGAGTTTAAGAAAAGATAGAAGACTTTTGAATTTGTGGTGTAAAATGAGGCACATATATTTTGTGTGGCTATAAATCATTGCATAAAGGTAAATTGTTTCCAAATAGGGAAAGAGGTCATTCTTTTTTGCGCGGACTAAAAAGAAAATAGGTTCACGTAAATTGAAATGGAGGGATTAATAAATAACAAGAGCTAAGAAAAGAAAGAAACAAAAGAAATATCAAAGAAAGTGAGACCTCACTAATAGCTGTAACTTTGTTTCTGCAACAGTGATAATGGACAAATGTGTGCTATAAAGGAAGTAAGAACCGTCTCCAATGACATAACATCAAAAGAACGGCTGACTCAGGTCTGTATATTTTATACTCACACAAGCAATTTTAGGTGGTCTTTCATGTTTTTTTATCAAATCTGAATGACTGATAATAAGCTAGTAATTTCTTGGTTAAACAGGAGATCACATTGCTCAGTCAATTCTCCCATCCAAACATTGTACAATACTATGGAAGTGAATTGGTATGACCCCTTTTGTGTTTTTTCTTTGAAGAAGCAAAAGCAAATGGTTTTTTTCATATTATAATGAAGTAAAAATAAACCAAGTGATAATTGACAATCTTGTTACAGAGAGGAGACAAATTGTCTCTCTACTTGGAGTATGTTCCTGGAGGATCAATTCTCAAACTACTTCAAGAATATGGTCCTTTTGAAGAACAAATTATCAGCAGCTACACTCGAAAAATTCTCTCTGGATTAATCTTCTTACACGAGAGAAACATCGCACACAGGTAAAAGTTATATATAGCTAGTTGATATTATCAGAAGAATTTTTGTTCTGTCAAGATCAATATATTCTCCGTTTTTGTTACTTGGCAGAGATATTAAAGGAGCAAACATACTAGTAAATGCTAAAGGTGAAATCAAGCTTGCAGACTTTGGAATGGCTAAACATGTATGTATCCAGCAGCAATATATGAACCAAAAGCGTAACGATTTTTAGTTGATTTCCATTCTATAAAAAGGATATATTAATTCATGTTTATATTTGGTTTTCCAATCTCAGATAAACACATGTTCTTTGATGACTTCTTTCAAAGGAAATTCAAATTGGATGGCTCCAGAGGTAATTTTCTCAAGAATTTGTTAAATGGTTTATTCCAACATCTTTTTCTCTGTTTCTTATTTCCTGAAACCTTTCTTGTTTCCAAATATTATATCAGGTAGTACAGGATGCAGGATGTTCCAGTGTTGCTGTAGATATTTGGAGCCTAGGTTGTACTGTTCTTGAAATGGCAACAGCTAAACCTCCATGGGGCCAATATGAAGTATGACATATTCCCTTACTCCTAAAATGAAACTACCCAAAGAGAATGCAAAGACTGACAAAAATCTGAACTTAATTTTTTGGCTAGTTGGATAAGGGGAATACACACGTCATTTCTAGTTGTTTCGCAACCAAAACAATGAGAATTGTATCTCAACTTTCATTTTTAACAGTTCCGTTTCTCTTTTAGAGAATTTCTGCTCAAATATCGGGGTTGTCTGAAAGGATAATATTATGGATCATGATATAACTGGATTGTGCAAATCTTTTACTGTATCAGTTGAGACTGATATGTCTTATGTGGGATTAACAGGCAGCTGCATTATTCAAACTGGCACATGGTAAAGACAGTCCTGAAATTCCCAGAAACCTCTCAGATAATGCAAAGAATTTTCTGAAACTTTGCCTGCAGAAGAACCCAAGTCGCCGGCTGACAGCTGCTCAGCTGCTACATCATCCATTTGTTCAGCAGTAGTGGTGAGAATAGTAGGTCACACCCCATCTTAATGAGAATCCATCACTAATCAGCCAATTTAACGGTATGACTGGAACTTCTTGGTTCTGTATTTTTGAACGTAAGAAAGTAGGACAGGATTGGTAATGTTTGCGAACGTGTTGCAGGTTACAGACACCATTACACGACTGAACAAGTTGCTCGCTTGGATCTTGAAGACAGGTTGAGCAAGACGATAATGAACAAGAGTTGCTATTCAAACTATAGCAAGATGGGAAGGAAATCGATTGGAGAAATGAGCCTCAAGAACTAAGCCAAGACATAACAATATGAGCTAGTCGCTGGTGTCAAATTTAAACAGGAGATATCTTCCCACCACATACGACCCAAAAAGCGGAAAAGAGAGTGCCTTTTGAAGCGCCAGTCGCGTAAGTGACAGGAACAGGCCAAGTCAAAAAACCTTGATATTCATATCAACAAAAGAAAAGCGCCAGGTGCACCCCTCGGTCGGATCATCCAATTCGCTCCAACAACCATGGATCTTTGGTCAAAACGGCAACCCTTTGGTTCGGTTTGGAGAAGTGGGTGAAAGATGTATATCCCCGCCAGAGCATCAGTTGAGATAAATTCACCCTCGTGGTGGCATCACTTGCTCAGTTCCACTCAATTCAATCATGGATGACAATAAAATTCTCATTTTAGACGTATAGCAATCTAAACTCGATCATTATCAAGAATTGTACAAGCTTAGTTCACTAGCTAGGATATACCAGATGGTATTAACAATAATCATTGTACAAGCTTAGTTCAATCCAACAATTACTGGTCAAAACGAAAACCAGTTCATGTACAATAAAGCACCACAATATACCTGTTAGCCAAACAAAATACCTCACAGATTTCTTAACAAAAATTCGGCCACTATCAATGCATAACACAACATGCCTCACTTGTGCAGTATCAGTCCTGACCATTAGCAACAGTTGCATCAAAACCTGCGGAAAATCAACAGTGTAACTTTTAGTAATTATATTGTTGGAAAAATGAAAAAAGGGGGGAAGGGGGACAAGAAGATCAAAATATGTACTGAAATATAAGCTTACAATTTACTATGGCTCAACTTAATGCAGATAATGGGGACCATTTATGCACTATTATCTACCGTGTTACATTACAACAACCAAGAGTCATTCTGCATAAGGAATCCTCTTAGCAGAAAGATAAATTCTAGCTTGAGGAACCATTATCAATATGATTTAGACCATAATCTGGTCATTAAGCCTCAGCTCTAACATTGTAGTATTCTGTCCACTGCAGCAGCCTACATGTAGCACATCAATGTAGAAGATAGATTAATGGCTAGTCTGAATAAAACAGCCCTCTGTTATGATTGGAGATCATGGAATGATGCCTATGCCTTCTCCGCAACATCAGATATATCATTAGATATTTTCAGTACCAGTATAGACACCAGATTCAAAAACACATTACTCAAGATTACTGGGAGGCATCAACATAAAGGCATTTTGTGCACACAAAGAGGAGCAGAGACAAGAGAGAGATATAGATAGTCTTTTTTCACCTTTTATCAATTGTTAAATATAATAAAATTCAAAACAATCAGACTCATTGGTAAATTTTCTTTACCAGCATTTCTCTAAATTATTTTTCCTTCCAAGTTTCTAGGTAGAATATATGTCTTCAATCATATCAAATGCAGGTTGTCGCTAAGGAAAATTGTACCAACCTTAAAAAGAATATTCTTTAAGATCAGCCTTCGAGTCTCCAAGTTCCAGGTCTGCCATACATTCTTCCACTGTAAGTGGAGGGAGTTGCCTAGTTTTTCGCCTAAGATTATGCTTATGCCAGTCACTCTTAAAATGCTCTCTGTATTCTTTTGAATCTCCTACAACAGTGTTGCAAGTAGTGCACTTGTTCAGTTTTACTTCGCCCTCGGAACTCCCAGTTTTGGCAGGTTTGTTCAGTTTTTCTTCTCCCCTAGAATTGCCACTTTCTGAAGAAATGGTCTGCTTTTGCATTTTCTCACTCAGCTGAAGGACTGAACCTGTAGAATCCTTCCGTAAACTCGATGGCTCGTCCTCGTGATCATCGTACTGATCAACAAAGGTATCTCCTTCCACATGTACATTGACTGCAAGAATTTCCAACCTCCCCTGTAAATTCCTGATCAAGGCATCACAGTCCCGGAAAAGACTAGGTTCAATCTCACAAATCTGAAACACAACAAGTAGACGGGTAGTTAATGGTAGTTAATTACCACGAAACAAACAAATGCAACTGTGCTAGTTAAGAGCGCATGAGAGCAAGCTTGTCCACTCAGTCAAAGATATTAAACTGCAGTTTTGACCTAAGCATACCATGCAAAATTAGTTTGCCCACCTCAAAGCATTCATATTCTCATCACTCATTAGTTTGGTGAAACCAGGATTCAAAAGGTTCCTCCACTTCTTATTAATGGATGACACCATTCGACTTGTACAGATGGCAGAAACTGTGCTTGCTCAAGTTCATTAAGCTTTAGAATAAATGAAATGGTATTTTCATGAATGAAGCTCAAGTTGGGTTCAAAGGAGAGGAATAATAAAGGAAGAAAAAGTGAGACCTAACAACTACTCTTGACGCCTCCTGCTTCTATTGATAAGCAAGAATACAGGGAGCAGTGTTTTTTCCAAGAGAAAAGCCTAATGAAACGACGAGGCACATGGGGCTTCAACTGAAAAGCGAAAAGCTGAGCACACAATCTATTAAAACTACAATAACTCTAATACTAACTCAAGAACTCAATTACACATTAATAGAATGTAATCGCAACAAGGCCCCAAAGAGGTAACTTCAATGCAAAAAACATTTTTATTTTCGATTAATCAACATAAAAAAATCATTTGCAACATTCAAATTTGTATTTAATTGGTTTAGAACCATAATAACAAAGTAGAAAATCCTTTCCAAAAAGAGTAACAAAGTAGAAAAAGAGAAGACTAACAAAAGTAGCAGATGAAAAGAACTTGCATACTAAGCAGAAGAAAAAGAAAAGAAACATTAGTGTTTGAAGAAGAGAAAGAAGAAAGAAATATTAAAAGGAGCAAAGAAACAACTAGTAGAATATATTTAAAAAATACAATCATTCAATATCGTAATTTTCATTGGCAATCATGAGAAACAAAAATATGGATGGTATGGCCTTACACTAGTTTGGGTTCGCCATCAAAGGTGATAGTGCTATAACACATCAAAATGCCTATTCATAGTGAGTGTAAAAATTCAATGCAATGTGATAACTTTGACCCCACTATAACAAGCATTTCTGATTGCATTCAAGAGCTGATCTTTAACCTACTATTCGGCTAACTCGGTTATATTACATTGGTAGCAACACATTTTTTTCACAGGATGCTTGCGCAGGCAAAGACACAACTGTAAACCAGAAAAGTTACCTGCTGTGGCTCGTAGGATGTAACAACCAGAAATGGCAGAAGGAAAAGAAAGAAAATGAGGTTAGGGCTTTTAGTGAGAGAAGAATACTTAGGAGAATACAATAACATGTAAGGGATAATAAGGTGATCTACTTGGTCAAACCAAAATAGCTTTAAAGCTACAAAGCCATAAGTTGGGAATATCCTACTCACGCCTTTTGGTTTATTTTGGATGGTCTTGGCTTAAAAGCACTTGTGGTGTCTGCCAAACACAAAAATAAGCCAAAAAGTGCTTTTAAGCTGGTTTGACCAGCTTTTAAGCCAATTCAAACACCCTCATACTCACTGTTTAGGTCATATTTAATGAAACTGGCTTTTAAAGTCAACTTGGATCAATGGCCTTCACGGCTTCACCATAAAAGAATAACAAAATGTTCATCCGGAAATGTAACTCTAACAACCAAGGTCCTGAATAGATTAACGATATTGCAACTAATTATTACCACAAACGACTATGCACAGACCTGACTGAACAATTCCTAAGATATTCTAAGCCGTTGACAAGTTTCAATAAGCTTTAGCCTTTGTAAACCAACTGTTAATGAAAGACATTCAACATTCATCTTTGATCTATAAGAAAGAACAGAACCTAATATTTATGTCTACCAAGTATCACTAACACATGTTAAAAAGAATCAACCACATGAGTATTATGCTGCAACAAAAGCAATTATTAAATGATTTAACAGCTGACAGTTAATAAACCATAAGTTATCAAACCATATAAACTAGAGATAGAAAATCCATCCTTTTCTGCCAATAGAAGTCCCCNACAGGATGATAACCTTTTTTTGAGAATGGTAAGAAGAAACAGGATGATAACTGATAACATGAACAACCTAAAAGATCTCATACAACATCGTTGACACCCACAAATACATATAACCGGAAGTCAAGAGAATGAGACACAAAAGGGCATGAGAAATGGATTAAATCTGATACGTGTTTTTTTTCTTACCTCGAGCTTTCAGATCTCTCTCTCTTCGAATCCCTAATGTATTTTTTGTGCTCAGCTGTTCCTTCTAATTGATCTCACTTTCAAAGGTGAATTTGAATTAAGTGGATGGAGATGACTCATCAATGCTACCACAGTTGATTGATTATAAATTATTTAAAATCACACAAAGCATAAGGGAAGTAGATGCATTTACTTCTGAGGTATATCAGATTCCTGTCAAGCTCATAGGATTAAAAGAATGTGCACTTGGGATATCAGATGCCTGTATTTCCAACAGAAAGAGATGGGATCTCAAATTCTATAGAAATCACTAGTCTTAGCTCCAGGACAGATATATTTAGAATGAAATATTTCGGTGCAAGTATTATTTATTGTTCAATTTCTTTAATATTCTGAAGGTAGGAGAGCATTTGGATAAAGATAACATCCAAGAATAATTAGTACAGTATGAGGCGTCAAATGTAGATGTCACTTACTATGGAGTGCTGACTTCCAAATTCTTCTCTTGACACAATGGAGGCATTCCATTCCTTCAGCTTGTCCAACACGGAAGGGCTCCTCTGTTCCGGTACATGTATCCTCAGCCTCATGGGAGCCCGTTTAATGGGGTAGTGCTTTTGAAGCTCCCGGATGACCTCTAGTGCCTGCAGAAGTTAATAAACAATTTGCAGGATATTAAACCTAAACAACTAAAATAACGAGTTTGAAATCCTAGCAAGAATAAGTATAGCTGTTACCTGTTTCTTTGAGCTGCTATTTGGATCAACAGCAAAATGGATTTCATGCATCAGCCGCTCAATCATGCTAATTGTATATGGACGCTGAGTTTCAGGATTGATTGTCTTCTGCATAACTATAGTAGTAATATCCCTGAACTGACTTGAAAACTGTGATTCCCTCTCCTTTCCTGCAACTTGCAGCTCTCCTTTGTCCAAAATCTACAACATAGGAAACATTTTCTACATATATAACCATCGAATCTTTCTCAGCTATCCCCAAGCGAAAAACAAAGAGTTCAAGAGGGGTGGAGAGTAGGGTGAAATATGAAATGCTATTTAGTGGCACTTATTTAAGCAGCTCACGTTACTAGATATGCTCAAACAACTTAATGGATAATCCATAACTGCTTGAGTGATGTATCTAATGTAATGTGTAAGAACAGTTTAAATGATTAAACCATAGGAAGGGCCCTTTCTATATCCGACAAATCACAAGGAGCGGCGGAGCTACCCTTGTCCAAGGGGAGTCAATTGACCCCTTTGCTGGAAATTACAGCCTAGATAGGTCCAAAGATTTTTTATTGATACATGCTATATGTTGAATCCCCTTGGCTTATTTACTTCTTTATATTTTGACTCTCCTTAGTGAAAGTTACTTCTTTATATTTTGACTCTCCTTAGTGAAAGTTCTGGCTCCGCCACTGGTCGCAAGTTCTGAAGTTTGTGACATACCAATCAGTTTACATGAATAAATACTTTCAGTGTTCTAGGGAAAATAAGCATGCGATTTAGTGCAAGTTATTTAAGCAATTTACATGTTAGGCAT